ATTCTAAAATAATATGAAATCTAAAGTGGAAGATTTCAGGAAATGCTCCAATTATGATTTATCCATATGTATTTGAGGTAGACGAAGGCCCTCTTCTCTTTCCGTAATGCTAAATTGCCCGTGAATTGAAATGACCACTGAAATGACCATTACACAGTTATGATTGTGAACATTTCCAGATGAAAAAGCTTTTCGAAAGAAGCAAAAATGAACAAATCTTTCACTCTTCCTATATTTAATCGACATCTGCGAGATCTTTGATCGCTATTTTCATCATTAACATTCACTATCCATTCATTTCATTAAACTATTAAAAATTTAATTATAGAGAATTTTCGAAAAAAAAAAATTTTTTTTTGAGTTTTATGAGATTTGGTAACTTACAAGATCAGCAAATTGACTGTACCTCCGAATTATCAATGCATTATTATCGGGTTATCATTTCATCACCACCTCCATTTTATAATCCGAACTGTCACTCTCTCTCTCTCTCTCTCTCTCTCTCTTTCATTTATGATCAATCCCCATAAATGCATTTTTTTCAATCCAAAATTCCGCCATCGCTATTCCTTTCACGAACCATACACCCACAAGGACATGCATACATACAGTGGAGAGCTATGACGAAATAAATATGATGGAATAAATGGAAGAAACGAATGCCTGTACTGTTTCGAGACTTTGCGTTGTGACGAGCCTTTGGACTTTCACGTCAAACAAGCCTTGAATGATCACTTCAAGACCACACGCACACGCATATAACTCCTTCGATGAGCTTAGTCTTGCTACATCTCTCTCTTCCTCTCTCTCTCTCTCTCTCTCTCTCTTTCTCTCTTCCTCTTTCTCTCTCTCTGGCTAGCTGGATGGAACAGCGACATATCGAACTCTCTCCTCCTCCTCCGCCCCCGCACTATATATTTTCTGAATAGTGTAACTCACTTCTCCGTTAGTTGTTTACCTCATTTATCCGCAAATTTATCAACACTATCTTTCTCTCTATCTTTCATATTTTTTTATGTGCAAAACATCACTTAACTCCTTTCTTCTCTTCCCTCTTCCTCCCTCTCTCTCTCTCTCTCTCTCCTCTCTTTCCTTTTCTCATGTGATGAAGTTCACTTATTTAGTTCGTTGTAGAATTCCTAAAACTACAGAAATAATTGCTGTCCTTTCTTTTTTTTTTTTTTAATGTCCCAAATTTATGAGAGTAATGTTGATAGAAATGAATGCATGTTATTGAGGTTGTGATGCATGAGCATGCATGCTTAGACATGCATGCTGTCTATTTACCGATCATATTTGAATGCATTGTATAACATTAATATTAACAATGAGTGTGTACAATGATAAGCAGTTAGAAAATTTCTATTTCGCAATTTTTTTTTTTTAACGTAATATTTGCATTTCGTAATTGTGTTGAAATGAAATGATTAATAAAAATTATCGTGTCGATTTTTGATTTTTGATTCTCATTTTATTAATGAATGATAATTGCAGGTATTATTGTGATTTATACATACATATTTGTGGATATTTTATTTATAGTGAATGGTGATTTTTTTTTTGATGCTTCATGAAAATATGAAATGATTTGGTAGAAGAAGTTGGAACATTCAGACGTATTACGCTCGCAAAAAAACAAAAAAAATAAAAAGAAAAAAAAAATAAAAAGTGATTCTCTGATACGTTACCTTTCTATACGGGTACGACGCTCTTCCGTGGTAATGCTTTTTCTTATCAATTTATTTCAAGAAATAAAATAATATTAATAAATAATACAGTTTTTTTTTTCTAGAATCATTTTCATCAGATTCATTAAAACTTGATCAGAATCATTTATTAATGATTTTAATAAGGATAATTGTCAGGATCATTATTGTTATTACTTCTATTTTCATTCCAAGTTTCAGTCGAATGTATTGAAAACATGAGATGATAAGTTTGTAATTGTGATAGAGGTTTAATTTTTGATCATCTTATCAAAGATCACATTTCTGAAAGTTTAGTGGTATCATTTTTTAGCTTAAGAAAATATTAACAAAGATCTTCACTGTTATAAACAAATATTAAATGATATTGAATATAGAAGTATAATTTTTTTTTTTGTACTGTTATTTATAAAATGAATGAATTGCTTAAAGAATTCTTCGCTGTTAATGATGAAATTTTGTTGAAATTTAGTTTTTAGCGAACTCTTACTGATAACAATGTATTCTGTTGATGAATGTACTTCATCATCCACTTCTGCATCGCATAAACAATCCAAACCCGACAGTGGCACGGCAGCTGCACGAAATAATGATGCTTTGAGTAGAAAGCGTACGGCAGCACGGCAGCTTCCACGTATCATGCTACATCCAAGCGTTCCGCAAGGAGGCGGTACAATGAACAGTTTAACTGCAAATGATTTCTCGCAAGGTATTTTAATGTTTACATCCATTTGTCTGTATTTACAACTGATAGCGTTTGATAGTGCAAGAAAAGTAGTACTGTTCTGTATATTTTGGAGTTATAGTTCATTGATTTTATGAAAATTATGCTGAATTGAAATTACATGCGTAATTCTTTTTTAAAATTAAGTATCAGATTTTGCTGGCTTTTTAATTTGGTAGTTTATTGCTCATTTTAATTTCCTAACTTCATATTTTCTATTACCATTTCAGTTTTACATTTTTCATCCTAAATGAGTAATTTGTTCTACGTTAGACAGCTTTATTTTATTTAGTATCGTTATTATATATTATTATTTAGTATTCGTTATATTAGAACATTTCATCAAACCGTTTTAAATAAGACAGGAGTTCGTGTTCGTAACAATTTTGTGGTACTTAGCTTTTTCTTAACGTTTTAGTTTTCGACTCGCGAATTGTTTAGATTTCACAAGGAAAAGCAATCGATGTGTTTGT